GCGGCGCGAGTTTAGGGAGCTTGCACCGTCACCTCGGCTGCCGAGCCGGGAGATCAAATTCAACCGTCACCCTTTTGGATTTAAAGTCCACGCGTGCTAACCATTAAACCGCATTTAGGATTCTGGTCAGCATTGGTTTTCCGGTCATCCTATGCAAATTTTTTGTTGGTTGTTCACTTGCGACACTGCAACAAAAAGAAGGGGGGTCTTGGGCCTTCAAATCACTTTATAACTGTTGATGTTATTAGTGCGAAATTGCACAGGTGAAGAAGGCCGTGGTTTTTCCCACCCTAGTATAAATACTTTACCCAAGGTCACAGCTAAATAAACAGCGGTCTGTTTTTTTCGTGTGTTCTGCGGGGGGGGGGGGGGGGTCACGTGAATTTTTTGGTGGCGCATTCCTCTGCGAGTTGTCCTGTCTTGCCTACAAGTCTCTGTGTGTTCATCGGAATGCTCTTTTGCTTATCATTCTTCTTGACACTTTGATTTGCCCTCTTTATCGAGGCCCTATATACCTATATTTGGTTTCAGCTTCTCTCTACACTTGTTTAATCTCTGTCAGCTGAATAATAATAACAAAAATTTGTATTCCGTATAGCGTCATGCTAATTGCATTTCACGGTGCTGTACAATTCATATGTAAGGGGATAAATACTACTTTTCAGAAGTTATTAAGGAAATGAAAACCCTCCGAAAATAAAACAATGAACTATCACGAAATTACATGAATGCAAAAGGTGGATTGCGAGCATAATTCGTTCCGGAAACGTGTTTGTAATCCAAAGCACTCGTATATCAAAGCACTCGTATATCGGTTGTGATCATGTGACGCTCGGCAGACAAAGCGTATACGTACTACTCGTATTGCAAGACCTCGCTCGTTTATCTAATTAATGTTTATTTAAAAAATTAGCTCGTCTTGCAAAAACACTCGCAGATCAAGTTACTCGCAATCCAAGGTTTTACTGTATATATATTGATATTTTTGCGTTGTCACAACAGCAATTAGTCCACTCAGTTGCATCCCAGAGAACAAACCCAATTTCTCGCACAAGCCACGGAATCCTTCACAGGAGGGGTGATAATCATCTTTCATTCGTTTGGCAATCATTCATTAATTCCTTCGTCGATGTAGTCGCGTGGAGGTCGAAGAGACTGCAAACTGGCCGGAGCGCTCCCTTGCTCTCACGCTCTCACTCTCTCGCTCTCTCGCTCTCTCGCTCTCTCGTGCTCTCACTCTCTCGCGCTCCCTAGCGCTCGCGCTCTCTTCCTCTCTCGCTCTCTCTCCCACGAACTTTGAAGTTGCAATTAAGTTGTAACGTGCCAAGCAAGTGGTGTCGATGCGATCAGGAAGAGGAGGAGGTCGCAGTGGGTGGGACAGGTGTACGGGGATGAGAGGAGTGTGGCTCACCGACGCAGGCATCAAAGTGAGGTCAGAGGCCAGGCGGGAAAAGTTAAAGCCAGACGGTGGCGATCATGAGGCCATGAGGGGCAGATATAGAATGGAAAGTGGCAGGTTTACAAAAACTGAAGAACCTAGCACAAGGAAGGAATTGATGGCTATGCGTGGCACTTTTTAACACCATTGGTTGTGACGATCTCTGGAACTTATTCCATCACTTGGTTTTTCTTTCGTCTACTAAGTGTTAAATAAAGACGTTAAAGGCAGAGTGATTTCCTGCTTAAATGTGCATTGAGGCGGTGCTCATCTTCTGTGCACAGCCTTGAGCCAGTGATGGAAATTCCACTTTTCTATGGCGGGGGCGAGTACTTCCATAGGACAGCCATAGGACAGACCCTGGAGGGACGATGGGCCGAGTCAAAACCCCTGACGAGGATGCGAACTCGCAACCTTCCTCCCGCGAGCCGCTTGCTCTCCGGCTGAACCGCTTGGCCAGCCACTGCACGCGTAGCAGGTGCATTCAATGTGTTCTCCTCTGCTATCGAATCATGAGCACCTCATCAATGCTCATTGGAGCAAGAAATCACCTCTGACTTTTTAATTTCGACGAAACGTTTTGCTTCATTTCCCTACCCCCCCCTCCCTCCCTCTTACATCCGTCTCCATCCACACTTCTTCAGAATGCTTTGTGTCTGAGAGTTTGACCGGGGGGGGGGGGGCGGGGGGCAGCCGTTGCTGCTGCTATTGCTGCTGCTATTGCTGCTGCTGCTGCTGCTGCTATTGCTACTGCTATTGCTGCTGCTGTTGCTGCTGCTATTGCTGCTGCTTCTATCACTGTTGCTGCAGCTGTTGCTGCTGCTGTTGCTGCTGCTTCTATCACTGTTACTGCTATTGCTGCTGTTACTGCTACTGCTGTTGCTGCTGCTTCTATCACTGTTGCTGCAGCTGTTGCTGCTGTTGCTGCTGCTTCTATCACTGTTGCTGCTGCTATTGCTGCTGCTGCTGTTGCTGCTGCTGTTGCTGCTACTTCTATCTCTGTTGCTGCTGCTGCTATTGCTGCTGCTACTGTTACTGCTGCTGCTTCTATCACTGTTGCTGCTGCTGTTGCTGCTGCTGTTGCTGCTACTTCTATCTCTGTTGCTGCTGCTGCTGTTGCTGCTGCTTCTATCACTGTTGCTGCTGTTGTTTCTGCTGCTGTTGCTGCTTCTATCACTGTTGCTGCTGCTGCTGCTATTGCTGCTGCTACTGTTACTGCTGCTGCTTCTATCACTGTTGCTGCTGTTGCTGCTGCTGCCGCCACTGCTGCTGTTACAACAAGGCCCTCATGGCAGCTGTGGGGCTTAGCGGAGAGCGCTTAATTACGTGCGGGGGGGGGGGATTGCATTGCGCGTCCCTCGCACGGCCGCCGTAATCCCCGCCTCTCCACGTCCTCCGCCACCCCCGCCAAAGCTGCACGGTCGTGTCAAAACAAAGCGTTCTCGACGCACTGCACCGATTCTGGGGAAGGGAACACGGGAGATTTTTTTTCTTCGTCCGTTCATTCATTCATTCAATACGCTCCCTATTATTGAGAGAGTGTTTGCAATTAGCGACTCAAAGAAGCGCGGCGCCCTCCGCGGTTCGCGTCTCTGTTGGGTCGGGTGCTTCTTAGCCCCCTTTCACTTGGCCGTGTTTTGTTTTTTTTCATTTCGCAGGGAGAGGGTGAAACAGAATGGCCGCTAGCTAAACTACAAAAACACAACAACCCCCTCCGCGTTCCTTTTCTCGTCTTTCACGTGGGGTGAGATTTTCAACAACGGATTTTCTGTTTGATGGAGATCCCCCCCCGCCCCCCCCCCCCCCCGCCAGGGGGCTTTTTTGACGGGGAATCTCACAAGAGTCTTAGCGGATTTTTTTTTTTATTACTATGATTATCGTCGTCGTGCATATTTTTGGAAATGTATGAGCAATGGGGCGGGTGAGTTTAAAAGTTGCTTTGTACGTGCGTTATTGATGTTGCGCACGTGCTGTTGCGCCCGGGAAGGCGACGATATGGTGAGGGCGACGCTCCAGCACCGTCTATCAATGCCGCGTTTCTGGCATTGTGCTGTCTGTTTTGCTTTCTGATTGTCGAGTTTTACTGTGGGGCTCTCCGTCTCTCTCTCTCTCTGTGTTGCCACATCCTCTCTCAAAAGAAGTCGGCGAGCGTGATATCCCTTTCAGTCAGCTCTGTCTGTGTATGTGTTTATCTATGCGGGGAGCGGTAGTGTAGCGGTTGGCGCGCTGCGCTGTGAACCCGGCGACCCGAGTTTGTGGGGAAATACAACAAACTAAACGCACAAAGCAATGGGGTGTCGATGTCGATTTAAAACTCATTGATATATACTCACGACATTTACATTAGGTAGCCCCCTCTCCCCAGTTGCATCCAAACGTTTCACATTGCCTACGTGACTCTTTCACCCCGCCGGCCTCTTAAGCACCTGCCATATTCCCGGCCGGCGCCGTGGTCGGAGCACGCAAATCCACGGAACGAAATATTTGAATTCCTGAAGAGTCGCCGCTCCTCGTGGGTCCGTCCGCCGCTGGCCTCCGCCGCCGGAACGTGGCGCTCTCACCGCCGGGGTCATTGTCCACCATTGATAGGAGTGCCGGGACGCGCTTTGCGCGCGTTTGATCAGGGACGCTTTGACTTCAGTCACAAAGATTGCTGACGGCCGCGGTCCTTTTGATACAACATTGTTACGGTTCTCTTGAAGTCAAAGCCAGATGCTGGCGAGGAACTGTGAGAATGGACCTCGGAGGTCAGTTCGCTGGAGGAGGGGGGGGATCTAGCAGAGGGAAAGAAGCGATGGTGATGTGTGTGTGTGGCGGCATCAGCGGCGTTGAGCGTGATGACCTTTTGACCTTTGCTGTCCCTAGCGTTGGTGCTGGCCAACTGGGGGGGGGGGAGGGAGGACCCTGACTGAGATGACAGAAGAGATGTATGCAGCAAAGACGGAATAATAAGAGAAAGAGATGCACACCTGAAAGATATATAATTTTTATTAACTACACGTTAATGGTCTTGTTTTGCATTTCAATTTTTCATGATTTTGGGTCCCCTTGAGCTATCCCATGTATCGGTTGCCGTTAGCGAGTAGCACCTATGAAGGTCGGCACGGTGCACGAGGGGGTGGGTGGCCAGCTCGACACCGGCCGCTTTTGTCTCCCCAGTGGCGATGTTACACCGCACCAGGTACTAGTTTGAGTTTGAGTCGACCGAGGAGAGGTCCAGGACCAGTTTAGATAATTGTCACGGTGTTTGCTATGAGCCGGTATCGAACTCGGATCGCCGGGTTCGTAGTGCAGAGTGCCATCCGCTACACTAATGCTCCCCATACATACAAATAAAAGAGACAGAGATCCCCCGGTATAGCCTTCAACAGACTGTTGAGACAAGTGCTGTTAGCGAGCACCTATGAAGGCCGGCACAGCACACGAGGGGGTGGGTTAGCCAGCACCACGCCCGACATACACCCAAACACAAAGACATACACACACATGCACGTCCATGTGTCTGTGCTTAGCGTGGGAACGGACATTCATATATATATATTTTTTATGTCTCCCTCCACAGAGTCTTTGGACAAATGGGAGCGTCTGACTGTGGCCGATTCCCTGGAGCCGGTGCAGTTTGAGGACGGCCAAAAGATCGTGGTGCAAGGAGAGCCGGGAGATGACTTCTTCATCATCACCGAGGTGAGGCGACAGTGGCGTGCGTCGGCGGCATTGACATTTAAAGATCGCTCAAAGTTTCGCGATCGGCCGTAGGAAAAGTTTGCTGTCCTTCAGCCCGCACCTCCCGATTATCGCGTTGCCAGAAAAGGTTCAATCTGCATACATAGACGCCGCACTTTCGACGCTCTGGCCACGCGGGATATCGGTTGGTTTCACATTCGCCTTGGTTCCAATTCTATTTTTACGGGAAGTGTGTTTTCTCACGTGGATGGAGTACCGTTTATTTTCCGAATTTCACGATTGCGCCTAAAGAAAAAAAAAATTGTTCGCGTCAATGCATGCGAAGCCACACTTGCAAGCACGGCACATTTTTACCAGATATGGTCTTCATGCGGCAGTGTTGACGCAGCCAAAAATGGACACGTCAAATGAAAGCAAATATATGAAATTAACTTGCAGCGGGCCCCTACAGCCACAACTCCCAGGGCCCAGGCTGTTAAATATGAAGAGAAAGCAGACTCGCAGTTTTGCTTTCAGGAACATTGTCAAAGTCCAAAGCGATTTCCTGCTCGATGAGCATTGAGGCAGCGGGTGGAGACTCCCCATTCTTATGGTGGGGGGTGAGCTTATCCATTGGATAATCGCCGTTGAATTCCCCACTGAGTAATACTATTTTATCGACCCCGGAGACATCATGGGCTGAGTCAACCCTCCCGCCCCCCCCCAAACTAGTATTTGAATTCGCAACCTTCCGTGAAAATAATCTCCATTAAATTCCTCCGTGGTCTCACAATTCCATCGTTAACTCTGACAACCTCCCCACATTCTGATCTGCGTACTTTCATGAAACTTCACGGGACTGCGTTGGCATGTTTCCTTTATCCGTGAAGGCCTTCCTGGGTCTCAAGACCCTTGGCCCCGTGAACCATCCTGCATCCCAGGTCCTTTTTTGCGTAGATTAGTTACGAAATCGAGTGGGCTTGGGTGGGACACGTCGCTAGACGGGGGTTGACTGCTGATGGTTAAGAGTACAGGGGCTCTCCTACTTACAAGCATTCGACTTACGAACTTTCAGAGATACAAACAAACTTGTCCCTATGTCCAGTTGCCTGTTCGGACCAAGAGTCGTAGGTTCAACTGCCGCGCAATAGATGGCGGTGGTAGCATCTTCATCTGCAGAACATGAAGAACCATCTCAAACCTATATAACCTCTGGCTGCAGTAGCTCTCTCGCTATATATCTTCCTGCCTGAGCAGTCCGCCTGCTGTATTTTTTCACCTGAAGACGATTGCTTGTGTTGCGATCGAAACGTCGTGATTTTTTATTGTTATTTTTCTATCTACGTGACTTTACCGAAAGACCCAAAGAGTATGAAGAACCAGTGACATCTGCATATACGGGAGATTATACAACTTTTAAAGTCATTCCCCATGTTTAGTGGGCACGCCGTACAACACGTTTGGAATCGACAGGAGTAAAGTTGGACTTTCGAACAAATCGACTTACAAACAGGAAACCTCATTCGTAAGTAGAGGAGTCCCTGTATCAACGGAGCGGCAGCCAACGAATGGAAGGTGCCCAAGGGTAGTAATGCCCTTTGAGGAGGTGGAGTGATCAAATAAGTTATAATGTGCGGGTGCTATCAGGTGGAGATTGTTACATTGCAGGATCGGGAGAGGTGGTGATGGCTTGGGGTGATCGGCCTTCACCCAGCAATGGCTTGACCTCGGCCAATGATGATATCGGCGTGTTAGGTTGTGGGAACACACCAGAGGCTTTCCTGATCCACGATGTGGTCGGCGAAAGCGTTCAAAAAGCCGTCGGCAGCCACCTGGGCGCACCACCGCCTACCGGCCACGCACGCGGCCTCTGCGCAATCAACGACCATCTCCGTTGCAGTCAACCAAACCCCATCGCCTTACAAACTGCGCGGCGGGGGGGGCGGCCGGTTGCAGGTGTGTGCCTACCACCTGATTACGCGGCTGGTGGTTGGCGCGGAGGTCAACAGGTGACGATGGGAGGGGGACGCTATCCCGCATGTCCTCAGGGCAAAGGTTTTCAAAGTTTTGTTTTTCGCCGAGATAAAGAGATACGCGTAGAGATAGGCCGTCAGATAAATAGATGGGTATCTTGATAGAGAGATAGATGTGACCTTTTCGCGTTATTGTTTGCGTTTGGCGGGAAAGCTGGTGCCTTGCGTCAGATATATATGTGTATTGTAAAATAACGACGGCGCGTTTTTTTTTACACGTCCGTGCCGTGTGACCTGCGGAGCCCCCGTGGCGAGACAAGCGACGCAGCCGAAACGATGTTTTCCACAGCTCGTTGTTGTCGTCGTCATCCTAGCGGGCAGACGGGCGGGTTTTTGTAAGCGTCGTTGATTCAATTCATCATCCAGCCGCGTTATAATGCGCTTCCGCACGGGCTGTCATCACGAGCTCCCTCCACCTCTTCCGATCTCCCGCCACAGTCGCTGCCGTTGTTATTGTTAGATTCCCATTGTGCCAAGTCCATGTCTGCTCTCTCTTCCCCGTCTGCTCCTAGGTCAGTTGTTCTCAAACTTTTTTTTTTGCTATGATGCCCCCCCCCCTTCCCCCCACTGCCCCCCCCCCCAGTTGAAGACCACTGATCCCCTGCGGCTTGCGCCCCACCACCACCCCACCGCTGTCCCTCCCCTTCCCCAAACTCCCTAAGCCCCACAAACACAACGAAGGCTACCCAGGCCACGATACAGAGAGATCACATGACCATGCCTCAATTCGTCAACACGGTTTTAGTAAGGCACTTGTTTGACCTTGCATCTCATTTTGTTTGGTGTTGGTACCGTAATTGTTTAATATTATATATTGAGTGTGGCTTGTGTTAGGCATTTGCTGCACCTTGTGGATCTGTGCCTTTTGCCACCGCAACGTGTGGCGTTCAAGTTCTCCGCGCACATTCCAAACTTCACCTTCACCTGCACGGTATCCATGCCAGGGCAGCCTGTGCCCCCTCCCTGAGAGGCTGAACCCATGCTATCCTAGGTCTTCCTCTTTCCCCTATGCCCGCGTGTGTCAGTCTCCGTTGTTTTCAGGGGCAACCTCTTCGTGGTACCCATTCCCGAGCAGATGCCCCGAGCCATTGTGATCTCGTCCCCGTCGCGACCTCCTCATTGCCAGCTTTCATTGGCCGGTTGATTAGTGGAATTCGTGGCGCGGGCCAGTGCATCACGAGCGCCGTCGGTTAGCGGCCTTCGTGAGAGTCCACGATTTGTTTCAATGAGAACGTTCGCAAGTGGCAGCCTTCACCGCGCCCTCGCACGCGCCGCCCGGTCACCGTCGCCTCCCGTGGTGCGTCGACGCCATGTCATCATCTGGCGAACGAAAATGCGGACTTGCTCCGTCGCGTAACGCCACCGAGGGATTTTTAAAATAAAATATTTTAAAAAACATATAATTGTATTAACCGCCGGGGGCGGGGGGGGGAGTGGACGTTGCGCGTGTTTGTTTTTTGCTCGACGAACGGCGTCCGCACGTAATGCACCAACACCTTCAATGGAGAATTGGGACAATTTCACAGGGGGCGGGAGGGGGGCGGGATGGGAGGGGGCCGAAGGTGAGGAGGAGGGCTTGGAGGCTTGGATTAAAGAGCTTGAACGTTGCGTCCGCAGTTGCCAGAGTACAAGGTCTCAGCTCTATTATTATTATTATTCAAAAGAGGTTTTGTGACATCAGCAGTTTCCAGGCCCAATCTGTAAGCACGGAAACGTTCATTTGACACCCAACGCCTGCGCAGACGTTTGCTTTTGCGAAATACGAACACGCCTGGTGTGTACACAACGTTACAAAATGTGTGCGCCGCCGATCAAAGTTCCTTATTTTGAAACGGATAAATAACTAAATAAATAGCTGCGCTGAGTGAAGAAGCCACTTCCTGGTGACAACGAAGGAAGAAATTATCGCGGTGCGTTCGTCACAGTCGGTCGATCGCCACGATGGAGACACGTTAACTACCTCGCCTAGTTTAACACGTGGGAGGGCTTTCGCGACCAATATTATTCATAATAAAGGTTTTTGGGTTAGGTCGCGTTATTTATAAATGTGTCGTAACCCTCCACCACCCGACACGGCCAATCAGCAAAAAAGTGTCACGTTGACAAAAGACAAAATTGTTCACTACTTCAGCCCACCGGTGTGTTGAAGAGTGAATCCACAACATTTACAGTTTGAGTACGACGTTTCGCTGCTAATTACATCCATGATCATCGGGCAATTCGCCAAAATGGTAAAGTCCTCACTTGCTCCCGGTCTTAAATAGAGCAGCAGGGTGACGTCATCATTTAACTAGTATACAGGAGGTTGTGGGTTCGACCCTGATATCTGTTTTTTTATTTCGAGTTTGCATGTTTCTCTCTGTGGTCACGTGGATTTCTCTCTGGGTCCCCTCTGAACTTTCCCTCCACATTTAGAACCGACATGCCTTTATAATATTCGACTGCTGTACATTTCTACGTGATAAGCCACTTCGTTGGGCTGTCCTTTGTGGCCAGGTCGCTTCTGTAAAAGAGCCGTACAGCTCAGTGGTCCTTAACGGCTAAGATAAATTTTTGTTTAGTTTAGGCTGCGCATGGTGGGATAAAGTGTGGGTACTTCTCACCCCTTTCGAGACGTCTGGCCGATGTGGAAAAAGGGCTCTCGGGTTGAGAAAGGACCGTTCCACCAGCAGCGGTGTAAGCAAGGAATTGCAGGACTTGCACCTTTACCTTCATTACAGCGGCACGTTTTCTACCCAGGGGAGCGGCGCAAATCTCCACCGAGGGAAGCGAGAATCGGTGCAAAGCAGTGGCGCCGGTTCAATGATGCTCAGTTCGATGATCAGCGGCTTATCTCGACAAAGCGGCACGTTTCAGCACAGCCAAACCTAGCCGGTGGCCTGAGAAACCTGAGGAGAAACCCGACGCACCTCGTGGCGGTGAAAATAGCAAACGACAAGGCCGGTGTTTGGTTAAAAAAATATATATATTTATTAAAAAAAATTGTAT